CCATTGAATGAAATCTAGAAATATGAACAAATGTATTCACTGGTATTTCCAGTATAAATGGTATGAGGCCATTTCAGTTAATTAAGGTCCACAAACTTAACGCTACAACAAGAGTTTAAGGAATATAAATTACACATTTTTGTCCAAAGTGGTGACAGTGATATAATTAAGCAGTTGCTTAATTTTCGGCTCCATTTAGACACATACATGCAAATGTTTGCAGACAATTGTCCCGGGGACATCAACAGGTCCATGTCATAATTTTCCAAAGAAATTCTTTAAGGAAACTTTTTAGTTTAATGACTTTTAATGGGCGTTTTCTTTTCTCTAGCCATCAAGTGGTAGCAGTTTTTTTGTATTGTTTTGTCTTGAGTAAAGTATTTTTTGCACAATCTCCATTTTGGCACTACCGCTTGCTGGCTGGTTGGCTGACTTGCTTATTATTTGTTGTTTATGCTTTTTAATATTGCTGTTCTTTCGTAGCCTTTGTTCGTTACAGTTCACGGTTCAGAGTTTTAAGTTTTTTTTTTTTAATAACTTGTGACCCCCATGCCACTCACCATGCTGGGGCATTCTAGATGCTTGTGGCAGGTTATGGGCCAATGTTCTACATTGGGGATTCCTATTCCCCTTTGCTTTCATGTCTGCTTTCATGGCTCGCCAATGCTTAAGTGTTGTGCACGGAAACGGAAGTGTCAGTTAAAAGAAAAGAAATTGAAATAAAACACCCCGTGCAACGTGCCAAACCACAAACTAGTTGGTCGAAGAGGAGGGTATTTACTGGAAGCGTATTGCACAGAAGGGTTTCATAGCTCTTTTACTTCCCCTTGTGCGCTGTATGCAACAGGAAGTAACAAACGTCAAAAATTGTTACAGTTTTTGTTAAAGTTGATTATTGTTGCCTTTGGTTTGTTGCTACTTCTCTGCTTGGTTTTTCATATGGCTGAGTGGGTGCCTAGCTGGCTGCATCGTCTGTACAATGATCTATGTACTGGTTGTATTTGATGTTGAAGACTACCGTATATAAGCATGGAAGAAAATAACACATCGCAGTTTATAACATTTTTCAAATGTATGTTTTAATTGAGATTTTGTAAAAAGGGAAGAAAACTTTCAAAGTTTTATGCATATTTCTTTTCGTTGGAATTCTTTCAGACAAAGTAACATGGTTGCTGGAGTTGAAGGATATATGATGCGGCTTCTTGCAGAACTATCAGATATGAGTTATGCGTGTTTTATTGTGATACAAAAGGTATAGGAAACATCACCAAGAGTTTGGTTCCGAAGGAACACGTTTTTTTGGTCATAAAATCGATAAAAAATAATCTTAAAAAAACGATTCTTCCCTGTGCGTCAATAAAATATCTAAGCCACTCAGTGGGTCACTTTAAAAATGTCAATCCTTGAGATAATTCTAGAAAAAATATTTAATAGATCCACCCCTCGTGTAGGGTATTTATTTAAATATTTCATCATTCATCTCCAGTTATGTTCGTTTGTGACAAGATCCTCATGACCGAATATACAAGTTTATAGACCAAAGACCTAAGATAGCAAGATTTTTTTTCAGTTCTATAGAATTTGTAGATTGGATTTGCCCAGTTGATCGTCTTTTGAAAACGCTTTCGCCTAATTAAAATTATCTAACAATTATTATTTCTAATTGAAATATCACATATCTCAACATAACATATTTTTGTCTAGATTCCTTGGGGAAAAATCTTTACTTTTACAAACAGCCAGACATTGTATGGCTGGAAAGTTACTGATAATAAATAAAATAAAAACACTGACTTGTTATTGTTCTTGGTAAAAACTGTTGCTGGCTGTTACTTGTTCTTCGAAGAATTTCCCAAGAGTAATGGTGGAGAATATAAAAAACAATCCCTCAAGAAACAAATAAAAAGACACTTTTAAAGATATACATGTCACACTCACTCACACACATATACATACAAAGAATTCAACTAAAAATTAAATAAACATACAGGTGTATGAGTACGACGTGCATTTGTTTTCCTCTAAAAACATTGTGGTGTTAAAGTGTGTGTGCGTATATATATTTGTGTTATTTCGAAATATCCATTGCAGCGTGGGTTTGTGTGAGTATATGTGTATGGGTATATATTTACAATAATAAGTATTAAGAATTTATGACAGTTTTCTGAAAACGTGTTTCGTTTTGATATCAGCCATATCAGCTACCTTTGGCTGGCTGGCTGGTTGGCATCAACACCAACCACCCCTCTTCCCACACCCCCTCACTCAGAATTACAATAAGATTTTTCTGCATGTTCGGGATTTCATAGCTCTCTAAGCTTTCCTCACACTCACATCATCTCATCTCCCAGGTGATGCTGAAATGTTGTAGTAGTTGTTGGTATGATTTGTTACCTTAAAAATGGGAAATTTCATACAAATAACACAGACACACGCGCGCACACATGCACAAGTACACAACATCTGAGAAATACTTCAACATGAAAAACATTTCAAAACATTTACCTTTCAAAACGTGTCTTAAATGCGAGAACCAACACCTATGCCGGTATATTGTTTGGTTGTGTGGGTTAGCAAGCAGCTCCTTTTCTTGTAAAAATGTTCTCAAGCTACAAATGTGGAATTCAATTTGTTGTTGTTATTTTCATTTTAGCTAAATGTTTATTCCCATAGCTCGATATTTATTGTACATTTATAGCAAGATGTAGACGATTTTGTGATAAGAAAACATTTGGAATTTAAATGCGAATTCTTTAGCCTGTGGGAAATACGATATTCGAGTACAAAAAACAATGCTAAATGCAAATGAAGTGCCATTTTTTTGAAACATAAATCTCACGAGAAACTGATACGGCAAATATAAATTAGAATTTATGTGATTTACAAATATATTTAAATTAATGATATTAGGTGTAAACCAAGCAGATTTTACATCGACTTTTTAAAAAATATATATATATATATATATATTATGCATTCAGCATATATATATATATATATATATATATATATGGAAGCAACTACTAATAAATAATCCTCTTCCAGTCCCACCAAATCCGTAGCAGAACCTTCCTGGCCGTAAGTCACCCTTAGTTTGAGGGGCTTCACCGTTTGAGGTGTTTCACCGCTCTTTGACCACCACATGCCGGTCAACTTCGAGCATTTCTCCGTTTTTATCGATATTTTCGACGACCGGGCTAATAAATTTCTTTTCCCACATCTCTATAAACCAAGTTTTGGTATCACCCCCATAAACGGTACAAGCCATTTCATATTTTGAAGTTCTCATCCAAAGTGGTTGTAATTTGCCATTCTGCCTTCTTTTTGCAGAAAATCAAATTTTGGTATGTTGAAGGTCTTGTTTTCAGATTAATTTTTCTTTTTAACACAATAAGTACTAAATTCTATATATACGGAAAAAATGTCTAGAATCTAATAAGTACTAAATTCTAATAGGAAAAAATGTGAAGTACTCTCAGCAAAAAAATCATTATTTTGTATTTCCTTGGCTTTTTATTTTCAGTAGAAATTCTCCCATAAACGTATTTTCATTTATGAACATTGAAGCAAAAACCCTCAGCCTTCGTTTAGCTACTTATTCTAGATATTTATGCAAATTTCGTATAAAGTGAATAAATTGAAAATAGCTTACAATTTGTTTATGCTTTATTCTCTTCAAACTTCATTACGTTCGTTATTCATTCGCCACCCTGCCCGTAATCCAAACAGCATTCATTGCTTTTCCCTATGTGTGTATGTGTGGGTGAGGCTGTATGTGCGAACATTGAAAGTAATACATACGAGCAATGCAAACATTAAAGCTCTTTTCTTTTTTTGTACACACAATTCATAATTCATTAAGAGTATGTCTTGAAACCCCCTATCCCTCTTGATACATAGTCTCACGATATTCAATTTCATCATATTTATTTGATGGGCACGAACGCATTCACACATACCCACATACATACTGCTGCTACATATGTACTTTCGATTCCAATGAAATCCCAACGTCAAGGTGTTAGTACAACAAAAAATTAAAATAAAAAGGATTTCTTCAGGTATTATGTTAAGTGAAAAGCTATTTGTAATCAAATCTATTGTTATTGCATTAAGAAAAAAATGTTTTTCTTAGAAAACGTTTTTCATTTTTCCTAGACAAATTTTGCCAATGATGATTTGTTCTTGAAATATTATGTATTTTTAAAATAAAAGACATTTGAATGGTCTCTTTCAATCAAAACAATTTGTGAAATAGGCGTAATAGAGCATAAATAAAGATTTCATCAATCCGTTGTTTACAAATTGAAATGCATTTAATTTGGAAAATTAAATTGAAAACAATAATTCATTTGAAGGGGAATTCAAATATAAAAACTAATATATAAACAATAGAAAACTGTATGAAAAAAGTGAGGAGTAAGTATGAATATGTGACTGAATTCTGAAAAATACTGCACATTATTAAATCATGCTTAAAGCACGAGGAACATTTTAGAGACAATATAATGAAGAGGAAACTATCCTTACCGGCAAAGATAGTTCAATATTTTTATAAAAAACAAAATACCTAACCTTTTTTATTGAAATAGTTTAACTTGATCTTTTTTTTTGATTTTTTAAAATTTGAACTAAAAGCTTGCCTTTACAACCGTCATTAATATTTACAAATTTACAATTTCTCTATATAAAATATTGCAGTGGCTTTTCATACCATTGTCACCACCTTTTTTGAAAGCTTTTCGCCAAATATAATAACTTCCGGTTGGTATCTTCTCTACCACCAAAATAAGCTTCCATTTCAATGTGCTAAAAGTTAAAGTACTGCATTTCCATAGCAACAACCAAATAAAGCTTTACTCTCATCAACATTTTTAGCTTTCAAAGCACACTGCTGTTATAATTCATATATTTTAAATAGTTATTTAAGGTAACAGTGTTAAATAAAGCAAATTCAAATACTGTTAAAATTTCAAATAGAGAGAATAATAATTGATCCGCTTAGACCATTGTTATAAATTCCGGATTCATATAAGAGAAACCCAAGAAATCACCCTGATCCAAATTCATCATAAACAATTTATCGGTGGGTGTTAAATCGGTTTTCTCAGCGGTAAAGGTGGTATCGAAATTCGATATATCTTTGCGATGTTTCTAAAGAGGGAAGAAACAAAACTATTTTTAAGACCTTTCAAAATCTACTCCACAAACTTACAATTTTGGGTATAATTGGTGGTTCCATGCCCTTGTCTGCAGCCGAATCCCAATCAATAATGTTATAAAAGGGATGGGTTTGAATTTCATTGCGTGCAAACTTCCCGGCACCCAAACGATTGTTCGGCTTCTTGGCCAAGAACTGAAAGCAGGGATTAACATATTAAATTTCGAACTACAGGCGAACTTCTTTATAAGTTAGTAATGAGAGCCAACAACTAATTACTATGCTATAGCTATAATTCATAATAGCAATATTTTGTGTATTAGGAATTTTTAAAGGTAGATACATTTGGGAGTATTTTAGTAACTTACACTAGTAATAACATCCATGGACTCCTGCGAAAAATGTTTTGGAAATACTGCCTTCTTTTCTTTGATATTCTTGTACATGGCGGCATCATCTTCACCTTCGAAAGGTTGTTGGCCAGCCATCATTTCGTACAAAAGTACACCATAGGCCCACCAATCAACGGTGTGATTATAAGGTTCATAGGCCAAAATCTAGGATACATTTGTTTTAATAAATAAAACGATCCAATATTAAGAAGAAGTTTATACCTCCGGAGCCAAATAACAGCTGGTACCACAGAAGGTGCGAGTGGTGTCATTTTCTCCCACATTATCCTTGGACAAACCAAAATCGGTCAACTTGATATGGCCATCCAAATCCAATAAAATATTATCCAATTTCAAATCGCGATAAATGATTTTACGTTCATGCAAAAAGAACAAGGCCAAGGCAACCTCAACGGCATAGAAACTACAAGAGGATATTGTAGAGGTCACATTCAACTTATTTGCAGGATATTTTATAAAAATTATAATACATACATGGCCACCGATTCCTTGAAACGTCCATATTTTTGCAATTGATAAAGCAAATCACCACCCTTGCAATATTCCAATACAAAGAATAAACGGTCCTGTGGAGAGACAAGACGAATTATTTTTTTTTACTTAACAAACTATTTTCGATTTCAATTTACCATAGTCTGGAAGCATGAATGCAATGATATCAAAAATGGTGACTTTCCCGACAGTGCCAATATGAATTTCTCCGTCATTGGCAATTCCATATCATCGGCCTGTATAATAATATCCTTGCGGAGTACCTTGACGGCATACAATTCATCGGTACCACGACGTTCGGCCAATAGCACCTTACCAAATGAACCTTTGCCCAAAACTTTAATGAAATTAAAATCAGCAGCCCTAATCATATCACGTTTGTTCATGTTGTGTGGCATATCCTTGTTGTCCATGCGGCGTTTGTTGGTCTTCTTTTCGGTCTGGAAAAAACATAGGTAAAAAAATGTTTACTTAGAGCGTATTAAGGAAATTCAAAGCAAGAGTTTTTACTATTTCCATAGAGGAAGTTGTTATTGTAGACAAAAATTGCACGTAGCAAGTCTTTTTATAAAAAAAATGTACTGCTGAGAAATCGTTTTTTCAACAGAACAATTGTTCTGGATAAAATTATTTTCTCTTTGAAAGTCGGTTATACAAAAAATATCTAAGTCATTGAGAAATATAATTTTGCATAAGAACATCGTTAGTGATAGGTAAACATTTTTACAAAAAAGTTGTTTCTATAGGATTTTTTATATAATTACCTTAACCTCATCCCTGAGGCGAGCAATGTCATTGACGGCATCAGTGCAAGGTATATTGTAATGTTCACCTTCAACTTGCGACAAAAACTTGTACCAGCCATCAATTGGTTCCTGGAATAAAAAAACAAAATTCATTTAAAATGTATCTTGAGAAAAATTATTTCTAATTTACCTTTTGAATTTCCTCCATGCTGAAGGAGAAAGAGCCCATAAAATCGTTACGAGAAGTACGATCCCAATCCCATACTTCTACCAGTAAACGCTTTTCACGATCCTGGGGTCCAATGTCGCTATAATAGAAATAAAAGATAGTAAAAATCATTTGGGGATAAGAATGGAAAAATTTTTACGAAACTTACAAAGTAAACGATTCATTGAAAACTGGATTCAAATTCTTTTGAATGGTCTTGGTCTTCTTTTTGGTTTTGCCACTGCGATCTGGATGTAGCTGTATGGCAATATAAGGATCGCTCAAGCCATTGGTATCCATGGGAATTAGGTTAGCGGCTTCCTTGACTAGAAATTTTACAAAATGTCAAATAATATCAAAGAAGAGAGTTAAGTCTTCTACTTACTATCCACTTTCAATGTATTTCCCTTCATTTCAACATACAACAATAATTTGCCACGAATTTCCGTAATATCAGCACCGCACAATGGTGGAACTTTATCCTTGCAATTATGATGGACATTCAAATTGCAATCTAGAAAAGTTTTTTGTTTATAAATTGATTAACTCAGTTCTGATATGGCACCACAATTTCAAACTTACTATCACACTTGACACCCTGATGCTGGACACCATGCAACAGCAGACCACAATCATCACAGAATGTGGGAGCGGAATATGTTGTGGAGACCCAAGCATGTTTAACTTTGGCACACTCGCCATCAATATCGGTCTCCGTGCCAGGACATTTGAAAACCACAAATTTACAGCATTTCTGATGGATATTAAAACGGCAATCTGTAAAAAAACAACAGTTGCACAATACAAAAAAAATGATTAATGGCGAACATAAAATCCCAAACCATAACGAAACTCACCTTCACATTGATAGCCCTGCTTGCCAAAACCCCTGTTATTCACGAGCACAACAAAAAACACATAAACCAATTTTTAATTTAATTAAAATTCCTTTCCATTCGGTATTTTTGAAACTTTTTCTATCGTTGATTGCATAACTGGCTTACCATATAAATTCCTTGCAGTGGCCACAGTAGGTGGGTTGCTTGAAAAATCTCACGGCAAACTTATGACCATTAATAATTTCCAATCCTTTGCGTTTCATGCCACCTCGCCTAAGGCGATTTTTCATATAATTGGTAAATGCCCCCTCACCCGCAATCTGTACCAAATCCTTGGGCGCTCCCCCAGCTGCTGCAGCTGGTGCTGCTGCCGCGGCTGCCATTTTATTATCCTTTAGCGGTTATCCTTTTTGCAGAACAACAGAATTATACTTTTTTTCGTTTTTTTGGATTTTTTCACTTTGAAATCTGAAATTTAGCCGTTGGCTGACCAACAGTGACTGATTTCATTTTCAAAATCATTTGCTAAAGAAAACCTCTAAAGGAAGCCTTAAAAGTGTCAAATGGCGTTGTCTTTGTGGAAGGGGGACAATGTTTTAGGTATTTTATGTATTTTTTCGTTAAACGTAAGTTTAAACAATTGTTTAACATCGATGAGGTCAATGAATATATAACAGTGATGATGTGTGGATAAGAGGCGCAAAGCAAAAATAGAAAATTAAATATGTTTATATTTTTCAGTAGTATATTTAAATGTAGGGTTTAACAAAACAAGCAAGACGAAGGGTATCCACAATGTATTCTGAAAATATTTTCTATATTAACAGTATTTCCATAATATATAAATATTTGCGGTACAATGACCTATGTCAATATTTGCTTATAGATATATCTGAAAAATTTCCACAGGTGATTCAATGACTTCAAACAAGTAAAACCTATCCCTTTATTCAAAAAAAATTAATATTTAAACATATGTTTACAACAATTCAAGTCCAATACCACTGACCAATAAAAACAATATTCCACCAAGTTAGATTGAATCAAGTGTTCCGCTTGTAAACATTGCATCACTTCAAAATCGTCACCCGTAAGCGGCTATAAAAGCAATGTCGAAGTGGCTATTTACTTCAGATCGAAGAAAATGAAAAACAAGATCAGCTCTTCAAGTGTTGCATTCATCCTCCTCACCCTAGCCCTAACATGGGCTCAAAAGGAGCCACAATTCGTTGACAACCGCAGCACAATTGTGCATTTGTTTGAATGGACCTGGAAGGAGATTGCACGGGAATGTGAGGAATTTTTAGGACCCCAAGGATATGGCGGTGTACAGGTAAGTCTCATAACTAATATTAAAAATGTTTACAAATAGGATTTTTTTCTTTGAAAACAGATTTCACCACCCAACGAAGTTATAGTGGCGGACAACAATCCCTGGTGGGCCCGCTATCAACCAGTCTCTTATAAACTCACCTCAAGATCAGGTTCGGAAGCCGATTTGGCTGATATGATAAGACGCTGCAATCAGGTGGGTGTACGCACCTATGTTGACATAGTTGTCAACCATATGTCGGGTTATAAAGATGGCGACACCTTGGGTACTGCCGGTTCTGTGGCCAATTATGGTGAACGTAGTTGGCCTGCAGTACCTTATGGTCCCAGCGATTTCCATCCAACTTGTGATATCTCAAATTATCAAGATCCCCTACAAGTAAGGAATTGTCAATTGGCTTCATTGGCTGATCTTAATCAGACGGTGCCACATGTTCGCGATATGATTGTTGAGTATTTGGATCATTTCACGGATTTGGGAGTGGCTGGTTTTCGCATGGACGCCGCCAAACATATGTGGCCCGGGGATTTGGAAGTTATTTATGGCCGTCTTAAGGATTTGAATGTGGATTTTGGTTTCCCTGCCAATACCAAACCTTATATCTATCAGGAAGTCATTGATTTGGGAGGTGAAGAGATTAAGAAGTAAGTTTTACGAATTTACGATGAATTTTTAATTTCTACCACTCCTTTTCATGTGCCCACTTTACTTTATAGAAGCGAATACAATCACTTGGGTGCTGTAACTGAATTCAAATTTTCCACTGACATTGGTTTGGTGTTCCGCAACAAAATCCCCTTGAAATCATTGGAGAATTGGGGCCCTGAATGGAATATGCTGCCATCGGAAGATGTCATTGTCTTCGTAGATAATCATGACAATCAACGTGGCCATGGAGCTGGTGGTGCCGACATACTTACACACAAAGTTCCTGAGCTGTATAAACCTGCTGTGGCCTTTATGTTGGCTCATCCTTACGGCAAAGTTGCCAGAGTTATGAGTTCTTTTGCTTTTGCCAATAGTGACCAAGGACCTCCGGCCGATGAAAATGGAAATATTAAGGACCCCAGCTTTTTGCCCAATAATCAATGTGATACCGACAGTTCGGGTTGGGTATGCGAACATCGTTGGCCAGAAATTGTAGAAATGGTAAAATTCCGTAATTTTGTCAATGATGCCCCCTTGGAGAATTGGTGGGATAATGAGAATAAACAGGTGGCCTTTTCACGTGGCAACAAGGGATTTGTTGCCTTCAATCAGGACTTGGATAATGAGTTGCAGGCTAATTTACAAACCGGTTTAGCTAAAGGTGAATACTGCGATGTCATTTCTGGTGGCAAAGTTGACAATCAATGTAAAGGACATAAAGTGGTGGTGTCAGAAGATGGTTCGGCTAACATTGAACTTGGCAAGGGACCTCAATGGTTGGCTATTTCCAATCAATCGAAATTGTTGTAAATTGCATTTCAAATTCTATTTCAATAAAGAATGTATATTGTATGAATTTTCTTCTCTTAATAATATACAGATATTGTCAAACCCCTAACAGAAATGAGAGTAAATTTTCATTAATTAAATTTTCCATTTACGTTATTGTTACGTTTTGAGTGCTGACACGCTTGTAAAGTAAATATGTAGTACATATGTGTTTTATAATTATAAATAAAATATTCAAAAACAAATAAACATATATACATACATACTTCCGAATACAGTGCCAACAAGTGCTCTCATCGTTTCAAAACAAAAACAATGCAACAATAAGTTCTTATCTCTAAACGAAGCATCTGAGATTGCTGGCAGTATAAAAACAATTGTAATTCCCAGAACCTAAGTCAGTTCAAATCGAAAATTATTATTTGCACTTCAATCATGGTTGGGAGGCGGTTGTATTTCGGATTTTTATTGATTTTTCTATTGAAACTTGTGGCTGCTCAAAAAGAACCATTGTTTGCGGACAAACGCGGTACTATTGTGCATTTATTTGAGTGGACTTGGAAGGATATTGCCAAGGAATGCGAAGATTTTCTGGGGCCACATGGTTATGGTGGTGTACAGGTGTGTAAAAAATTGAAAATGAAGTATTAAAAAATAATAAGTTGTAACAATCTCCAGATTTCCCCACCCAATGAAGTGATTGTACAAGAAAATAATCCCTGGTGGGCTCGTTATCAACCCGTGTCTTATATACTTACCTCCCGTTCCGGCAATGAAGCTGATTTAGCTGATATGATTAAACGCTGCAATCAAGTTGGCGTACGAATTTATGTGGATACTGTTGTAAATCATATGTCCGGTTTTAAGGCAGGTCAAACGATGGGTACTGCCGGTTCCGTCGCCTATTATGAACAACGCAATTGGCCAGCTGTGCCATATGCCGCAGCTGATTTCCATCCGACTTGTGAAATTCAAAATTATCAAAATGCCACTGAGGTTAGAGATTGTCAATTGGGTTCGTTGGCTGATTTGAATCAAACGCTGCCGCACGTACGCGATATGATTGTTAATTATATGAATCATTTAATTGATTTGGGTGTTGCTGGTTTTCGTATGGATGCTGCCAAACATATGTGGCCGGAGGATTTGAAGGCAATATATGGCAGTTTGAAGGGACTAAATACCAAACAAGGTTTTGTTGCTAACGCCAAGCCGTATATCTATCAGGAAGTCATTGATTTAGGTGGGGAACCTATAAAAAAGTGAGTGCATTTTAATATTTCTTACAAATTGTGGGTACCTCTAAGTGAAAAAAAACGATGTGAAGACGAACTCAATAGAGGATTATGATCATGACCATGGCAACAACAAATATATTATTTTCGAAGATTTCATAGCATTTTTGTTCTACATGAAGTTTTATCTATTTGTACATATATGACAATGAAGTTGTGTGATATACTCATCCCTCTCTCTTCTTCCTTTCAGAACCGAATACAACCATTTGGGCGCTGTAACGGAATTTGTATTTTCCAAAGCCATTGGTGAAGTGTTTCGTGGTAAAAAATCTTTGAATACTCTCAAAAATTGGGGTCCCGAATGGGCTATGTTACCCTCCGAAGATGCCATTGTATTTGTGGATAATCATGACAATCAGCGCGGTCATGGAGCCGGTGGTGCTGATATACTAACACACAAAGATCCTGAATTATATAAAGCCGCCGTGGCCTTTATGTTAGCCCATCCATATGGCAAAGTAACCCGCGTTATGAGTTCCTATAGTTTCGCGAACAGTGATCAGGGACCACCAGCCGCTAAAGATGGTACCATTACTGGACCAACATTTTTAGACAACAATCAATGTGATACAGCGAAATCGGGATGGGTTTGTGAACATCGTTGGCCCGAAATACATCACATGGTGAAATTCCGTAACACTCTCAGCGATCAACCCTTGGCAAATTGGTGGGATAATGGTGGCAATCAGATTGCCTTCTCACGGGGCAATCAAGGTTTTGTGGCTTTCAATATGGATAAAGATAAGGAACTAAAGGCTAATCTTCAAACTGGCCTACCCAAGGGAGTTTATTGTGACATCATTTCCGGGCGTAAATCTTGTAATTCTTGCACCGGACTTAAAGTCACGGTGGGAGCTGATGGCAAAGCGGACATATCACTTGCCAAAGGTCCCAAAGTTTTGGCTATCTATAATCAATCCAAATTAACTTGAATTACAAGTTCATGCAATACAAAATTCTTTAAGTGGAAAATGAGGCCAAAAAGTGAACTGGATTTTTTATTTATAAATAAAAATCGGCAAACAAAAAACTTGTGCCACTAACATAACCATCAAAATAAAGTTTGTTACAATTCACAAATCGAGTTCAATTACATTGCAAGGGAATAATAATAAAAATCATAATACCAACAAAGCCCCCTAAACAAACCCACTAACACACACACCCAACTACAGATGAACTAGACCTCATTAAACAACAACAATAACAGCACCTAACATTGTAGGACAGGGTAGCAAGTGCAGCGCCGGCATCAGCAGCCCATCATAACGAAACACAAAAAAGAAAAAAAAACGAAAAATCAAAACTTTATCGAGGTAAACAACCTAAACTCAATCACCCTCAATATTGAAAATGCACACACACGCACGCACACAGCTACCTACAACCAACCAAAGAATAAAATGCCAAAGAAGGAAATACTTCCACTCCCACATTGAACAAGCAAAGCAACTGAGAAAAAAGAATTACTCCAACAATGATTGCTTATAATTTGTTTTTGCTTACTATTGTGGTTGTTGTTGCTGCTGTAGTGTACCGAGGAATGTAAACACCATAATCATCATTATTATAATAGTAATCATTGTCTAACATTGCCACCGTCATCATCATCATCAACAGAATCGCCGCCATCGGCATTTACCATCCTCATCATAACCACCAAAAACAGCAGCAGGAGGAGCAGAAAGAGTGGCAAGTGTAGATCTCGTGCTTCTCTTAGCATGGCTGGTTGCTGTAGTTGTTGTTGTTGCTGCCATCATTAAATGCATTGACATGCTATTGACGTCATCACTTTTGTCTGCCTGCAAAACACGTTTTAGCCTTATTTGCCATAGTTGTGTATGTATGTATGCATATGAACACACAATCGTTTGTATATATGTATGTATCTGTTGTGTATATATGGCATTATTCCAAGAAACACCAATATCCACAGCCACCTTTCGTTTCGGCTGAAAAAAAACAAAAACAAATCAGCAAGTTCCACTTAGTCACAACTTTAGTTTAGCTTCGCGTTCTCTCCATTTTATTTTCAGACGTGAGTTTTCCATTAATTTTCTCCCAGTATTTCCAATAATGTTATTTTACATGGTAGTCTGCAAAATTTCGTATACAGAGAAAGAGTCTATGTCATAATCAGTTAACAGGGAAAGTGGCATGCAGGTAATATTTCTGCCGGTATAATGGAGGTGAAATTAAATGTTTAGATTTCCAAAATGGAGAAACTAGAGTGAAAATAATACATATTATAATAATACGAAAATCCAATTTTTATACAGGAATTACGATATACGATAGAATTGAAATTTTGAGAGTTGCTACCGGGCCATTCCATTAATTAATCAATATTAACATACACCATGCTTAACAAGTCGAATAAACCACTTTCTGGTAATTTGGTCAAAATTAGTCCACTGCTATTATTATGTTGGCGTATGATTTATATAAAACAATATTTAGTATACACACTGAGAATTTACTAACTACTTATTTTTATGGAACATTATGTTTAATGATGGGGAATATTCATATATTTATCTCTTGTCAAATTTAATTTCAGATACAGCTTTGACACATTGCACATATATTGCTACTAGTCCTAGGATGTTTGGTATATCGGTCCACTTTATAGGGGGGTTTCCATACTACGATATCTCCAATATTCGGAATTTGAAAGCTTTTTGAAGCGTTGATTATTTTATTATTCTGTAATTTGGTATTTTTGATTCTTACGGGATCCCAATTTCAGTATTTTGGGAAGTTTAGACACAATTGAAATTTGTGTCCAAACTTCCCAAATTGGCTGTAATTTAATTTTTTAAATTCTCATTGAGAAATTGTCCGTTTTGAAGGCTGGTCAATCGATGGGTTTGGTAGCCTATTACCATAAACGCAATTGGCCAGCGGTGCCCGCTGCCGCACATACTCGATGTTATTGTTAATTATATGAATCATTGATTTGGGTGTTGCTGGTTTTCGTATGGATACTGCCAAACATATTAATATATGAGAATTTGAAGGGTTTAAACAAGGCTTTGCCTTAACGCCAAACCGTACATCTATCCGGAAGTTATTGATTTAGTTGCGGAACCTATATACCTGAGTATCCGGGTAGCCTCCACATAATCATATTTTCTGTATTTTAATAATTTAATATTTCAGGACCGACAAAAAGGTCTCGTCCCATTTTCTGTACTGTTAAATATTTAACCGAATTTTCTCATCGAATTGACTATTATTTGGCATATCGGATTCCTGGAGAATAAGAAACTTTTTCCCCGTATAATGATCCCGACAGGTTTTAGGAATATTGAAAGCACACAACATACTGGGCGGTATAAAAGTTCCACTAGGACGAACTTATCTTATTTCTACTCTTTATTGCCTCCTCATACAGTTATTTTTCTAGTATTAGTAGTATTAATTGTACAATAAATCGTACAATTTCCAATTTAGACTTGCGCAGTGTAATTCATATTATCCCTCTATTTTTCTCTTTTTTTCATTTTTTTTCTGTTTGTTTATATTTATAAATCATGAATACAATGTGCAGAATCACATTACAATACACATAGCGCTCATTGTAGCTTAAAGTTGTTTCCGGGAACATTGCAGGACCTATTCAATATAGACTCGCCAGCTCCATTTTAGCCGTATAAAAATGGACAATCTTATTAACCAAAAATGGGGACCTAATAAATCATTTTATTTACATTGCTACTAATTATCTTTTCAGGGCCAAGTGAAACAATTTTGCCATGTGAAACGTAACCTTTTTATAGATTAATTAATTGTTAAACACATTTGTCTAGCCCCCAGACTTCACAGTTTTCGGTATGAACAATTTCAATATGACTTAAGCATTTTCTTGTAGATCTTCGCCCAATATTGTATTTCTAACAGTGTAAGCTGCTAAAAAATAAAGGCCCCTACTTTTTTCTCTGAGAGAAACCCTAAACAAAAACTAGATAATTTTCATTTCATTCTCCTTCAACAAGATTCGCACTGGAAAATCAAATCTGCAAAGAAAAAAATTTCCACCGGTAAAAATTGTTTCACAACCAAGAGCACAGCGAACAACTAAAGAGAAATACAAATTTCTCATAGAGTATAAACTAACCAATAACCTCCAAAAACACAACACCAACAACAATTTGCAGTATAATATCCATAACTTTAATCGAATGGGGTAGTACTGGCGTCGACACGAAAATAGTCCAATTTGGTATTCGTACTTTGACGGTTAAAATATGCTAAACACTCGTTCGCTTCGTTCGGTCAAATATGCAGTGCCAACGGGAAAATGTGAATTTGAAAGTACGTGTTGACTTAATTATTAGCCCAAGATATTACAACAATACAACTGGAATTAGTCACGTGTTAAATGATGTGGTGTAGTGTAGTTGTAACCGTACTTCAGACTTGTCCTAGGTAAATGCTATCTAATATCAAGAGTGTGGTCGCAGCTACAGTTCTGCTGCTGCACTGCTGCTGTTGTTGAATATGTATTACAAGTGTGAGTGATTAAATGGAGCGAATGTCCAGGAAATGTGTTCGGCATGGTGGCATGTTACTTTGCAGTAATAGTGTTCGTTCTAATGACGATGGTGGCGGCGGATAATGTCTGCAATATTAAAAGCCAATAAATGTCAATAATAAAGTAATAAATGTTGATACAAAAAAAAAGAAACCTGTACCCAAAAAGAGAGAGGCAATGTGCCGTGAGCCCTAAAAACAAGGACCCCCATGGAATGTTATGAACATAAATTAATTACTCTAAAGAGGTTAATAATATTTACAGCAACATGAATTATATATTGCCTACCACCTTGTGAATGTGTGTGTTTAAGCGTGCGTTTTGTTTTAACGCGGCTATTTTATATTTTACCCAAAAAAAGATGGACTTGGTCTTTTATTTTTGTGTTAACCATCGTCCTGTGTGAAGTGATGCGTTAAAATAATGAGGTCATTCAACAAAATTTGTTTCACATTGTTGTTGTTGCTGTTACTTTTTAAGGGGCCGCATCTGCTTTCACGTTTTTGTTGTTGTTTAAACTATATTTAAACTATTTTAATTGCAATAGTTAAAAATAGTAAGTTGCCATTGTTTGCGGTAAAAAAGAAACACACAGCATCATTAAACCTTAAATGCCACTTTGGAAGACATATTTAAGTGGCTGCGTTTGTGTCTGTTTTTTGTATGTGAAAACAAAAAGCTGTAGAGGAATGAAGACTAGGACGACAAACAGCATCCGTATAGCCCATCTGCAGATAGCTATGTCGGCAGGTACAGATAATAGATACATTTTTACGTGTGTGTGCCTACCAAAGGCATATTAGGTGTGGTCATAATTGGAATCATAATGAATGTTTAAAAATGTTTTTCAGAAGGAATGTGTCGAGCTTCCTGATAAAATGTATTTTGCTAATCTTAACCAGGAAGTGTTGAAATCTGTGTGAAAATTAGTCAAATTTTAAACTTGATAAACCTTAGAGTTACCTGGAATTCAAAAAAATGTTTACTATAGAAACAAATTTGTTATAATTTTTTTCGTATCGAAGAAAATTCGGAATATATTAGGAATATTTTTTTCGTATAGAAAAAAATTTAAAAGAATTATTTTCGAATAGAAAAAATTGGGAATATTTTTTCCAAATTTAAATTTTTTTTTCCTTATAAGAAAAATTCGGATAGAAAAACAATGTTAAATGTTGTTTTTTTTTCGTATATAAAAATTTAGGGATTACTTTTTTCATAAAGAAAAAAAATCGGAACTAATTTTCTTTTTTTGCATTAAAAAAAATAATTTTTTCGTATAGAAAAAAATCGTTATAACTTTAATTTTTATAAAAATCAAATTGTAAATAATGGTTTCATCCGCCCTAATATTTCACCAGGATTTACATTTAGTTAATACTCACGTATGGATTT